GAGTATTGACCAGAGTGTAGGAAACTAGGCACTCCTATATACTACTTAAGGAAAATAGGTAACTCAAAGCCTTAAAAATGTACAAGGACCTAAAAATTCTACTTATAGAAGTTTACCCTAAATAAGTTGCTAGTAACAGGAAAAATGGGCCAGAAACTTGCTCATATAAGTTTAACTACAAAAGAAAAATCCTTGACAATCCACTTTTATTTTGGCATTTCTTTGATTACCTACATGGTTGAATATTTCGGGAAGTTTACTGGCTTTGTTACTCTGTCCTATGCCCTATGCTCATTTTATCATTGGGATAGCCATTGCTACTAATGATATTAACTACATCAGGTTATAAATATTTTCCCCAAATTGCTATATGCCTCCCCAGAAACCTGGGCTTTACTTAGGTATAACTGGTATACAAAAAACTGCACATAATTAATATAAACAGTTTGGTGAGTCTGAACACACACACACACACACACACACACACACTCAATCACTCACTCTCATGTTATCATCACCACAATCCAGGTATTAAACATATCCATCACCTTTAGGTTTCCTTGTGTCTCGGTGTGTGGTAAGAACATTTAACATGAAATCTACACCATTGAACAAATTTTTAAATACACAATCTTTATTATTAACAATAAGCAAGCACTAGGTTCTACAGCAGATCTCTGGAATTTACTCATCTTATATAACTGTAACTTTATATCACTGAATAACTCCTCCCCTTGTTTCCCTGCCCATATTGTCCCTGGTAACAATCCTTCTATTGCTTATTTCTATAGTTTTGCCTATTTTAGATCCTCCATATAAGTGAAATAATGTAGAATGAGAGGACTTCAAAAAGTTCATGGGAAAAAGTATGAGATAATTATAGAACAAAAAATTTATTTTCATAATGTGCATTTTTCCATGATATCTGAAGAACTCTCATATTTGCCCCTCTTTGACTAGTTGATTTTATTCTGCATGTCTTCCAGGGGTTAATTTCCAAAATATTTAAGAAATTCTGCAACTTAGTAGAAAAATAAAACACTGAAGCAAGTCAGGATAAGAAACAGAGACATTGCATGTCTCCACTTAACATATACCGACTATTTGGCACTCTATGGTAGAGACTGGAAAACATGAAAGTATTAAAAATTGTAATGGACACTAGAGACAAAGTGGAAGGAGGGAGGGGAAGAGTGCAGGAAATTTTGGGGGAAAATGGTGAAGTAAGACACTTGAGGGACATAGATAAGGTATCTGTTGACGAGGATATGTATGGTGGTTTCAACTGGGCTGGACTGAGGTGTATATCATGCTGGGTAAAGTCTCTTCACAATCTAAATGATGTATAGGGATTTAATGTATGACTAATAATAAAAAAATATTTAAAAAAACACACACACAAAGAAAAACAAAACACGGGGACCAGCAGTTGGTGTAATGGCTGTCGCTGGACTCTCATGTAGTCGACCACGATTCGAGTCCTGGACCTGGTGGCTTAAACTCATGCCGGATGCGCATGTGTGCGTGTATGTGCCCAAGATCCCGAGAAGAAAATGGAGAAGGGACTGCATCGTGGCCATCCCCCCCGAGGATGATTTCTTGCTTTCTGTCTCTCTATCTCTGTTTTTCTGGCGAGTGCACATGTCCTGTGGCAAAAACCTCTCAAAAAACAAACAAACAAAAAACAAAAACAAAACAAAAACACAATGTAAAAACACTCCCAATTTTTTAAAAAACAAGAAAACTTAAATAGACATTTTTTCAAACACAATATTAAAAAAATGGCCAAGGTAATGAAAAAGTGCTGAAAACATCACTAATTAACAGGGAAATGCAAATCCAAAACCACAATTAGGTATTATCTCACACCTATCAGGTGTCATTTTATTTTGGATACATTATTTTACATTTTCATTATATTCTTTTCCCCTTTGTTTTAATGCTTGAAAGGGTCATCTAAGACCAGGTAAAGAATCACCTATATGTTGTATGTCTCCTACAATTTCTTTTCAAAATATTTGACTTCGGAATATCTAGACTATATTGCAATTCAAGAGTCCCATCTATCACAAATCAAACTATCCTGGCATGGCTTCTTAACCAATACTGTCCTCCTCTGCCAATTTGTAACCCCTTTATTATAATATATTAAGTTCTTATATACACTAGGATCCTTTTCTAGGTTTTCTATTCTCTCTCTCCTTTTAAAGTTTATTTATTTCATATGAGTGAGTAAAAGACACACACACACACACACACACACACACACAACAGTACACTCAAAAGGGGCTTACCACACCAGAACAATTTCCCTCATCCTCCTACCCTTCTGTCCAGTCGGGATCACACACACCTAACATATTTAGGTCAACCCAGGATCCCAAACCCAGGATCTTCCCATATGTCTCCAGGATTGCACAGCAGTCCCCTATGGCCTGTACTGGTTTCTATTCTCTTATCAGTAGATTTTTGCATTGATGTCATTATTTTAACTGTAGTTTCTTAAGGCAAGTTTTCTTTTTGCCCTTCAGTTGCCAAAGATATTCAAGTACAAGTTATCAAACCTAGATGACAAAATACATAAAAAGAAATCAAAAGTAAATGAAAGTATAATAAATATGGTAATGAATACATATACTCAACATATACGGCATTCAGTAAAAAAACACAGGACACTCATGTCAAAAAAAATGAATGACACAAGAAGAAAACTGATGTAAGGCGAATAAATTTGAAAATATATGCTTCAAAGCAATGTAACTTAGAACAGTGAAATCCTTATTCCCCCGCCTAGTAAATAAATAAAAATTTAAAAGGTGCTGGTGAAGGTATGGTAAGAAAGTACTTCTCATACTTTGTAATATATTGCTGAGTGAAAAGGGTAGGATAACTTTGTGAATATGCAATAAATTTTTTAAAAGGCTGGAAGAAATATATCAAAACATTAATAGTGGTCATCCCTTGGTGATTACTTATCAGGTAAATATTAAAAAAAAAAAAAAACCCAAGTGGTCTGTATTCAGAAAATGAACTTCATATGCCAAATACAATGCTAAGCAATTATCTCACGTAAAAGGGGAGGAATCATCAATGCCATTTTGTGGCTATGGAAACCAGGCAAATTAGTAACTCTCAGCTATAACAAACTAGTAAGATTCAAACTCATGTCTAATTAATTCCAAGGCTTGTGCTCTTTGAACTACAACACAAGGGTCTATAGCAGTATCTTAATCCAACACTGCCTTAATCTAAATAGGCAGTTAGAGCTAGCTGATACAGTATCGAACTGACACTAGGATTCCTAATGTTGACATAGGATCAACTGACATGGCAATTCAATACACAGGTTAAGGTTATGATGAACAGTAAACTTAAGAATCAGTAATACAGAATGCTCAAACACACACACACACACACACACACACACACACACACACACACAACTAGTTAAGAGAGGTGTTACTACTTTCATCCTTTAAAAAACAAAACTGAGAAAGATCCATGACCAGAATCTGAATCCACACCTGCTCTTTCCATTATACCACAGTGCCATTCAATGCATAGGAAGAACAGTCTAAGAGCCTACTTTACGTACACATAGCTGCAAAAAACTATTCATTGGTCACTTTCTATTGATCACTTGGCTATTCACTCTTTTAATCAAGGGAAGTTCAGAATAAAGTTTGACTGTTTCAAGACAAGTTGCTGTTTTCCTGAACTTCATATATATGACAATGTATTTTGACAATCAGTATGAGTAAACTCATCCCAACAACTTTTCCAGAAAGGAAGAAAAGATAGCAAGGTGAACTTTTTTAGATACTTACAGCCTCAGTAGGTGTCTTTTTCAGTTTAGTCCTGTCTACTTTCATGTTTTCGATTTTCTGCTTTATGATCTGAAAAGAAAATCCCAAAAGAAGAATTTAAAGTTGCAATCTTGGGATCTACAAGCTTAAATACAGACAATATTAAATGAAGGGCATAAAAATTACTAAAGTGGGACCAGCAGATGATGTAATGGTAACACTGCTGGACTCCCATGTAGTTGACTGCAGTTTGAGTCCTTGATCTGGCAGCTTAAAACTCATGCTGGTCACATGTGCATTCATGCCCAAAATTCTGAGAGGAGACCAGAGGAAAAGGGATTGCAGTGTGGTCATCCCCCTGGGGAGTGATGTCTCGCTTTCTCTCTCTGGCGAGCGCATACAACCTATAGCAAAAATCTATATTAAAAAAATGCTTAAAGTAAACACACTGGCATTATGATGTTATGCCAACTCAGAAGCACACTAAAAAGCAGAGAATGATATCGAATAGCTCCAGATTAAGCTGGTCCATATCTCCAGTTGTAAAAGCCTAAAATCATATCAAGCCAAATGAAAATGCTTTCTCTTCTATAAGCATCTCTTCTATAAGCACACTTTTAATTGAAAATAAGTGTACAGTGTTTCCAACACACCCAAGGATGGATAAACTCACCATAGCCATATAGTTTTCTGGAAAACTTAGCAATTCCTCTTCTAGGAATTTATCCAGAGACAATCATCCAGGACATACACAAACAGTTAACTATAAGAACCATATGTAACAGTGGAAAATCAGAAAGGACCTAATGTCCAAAACAAGATTGGTTAAAAATGGGAAGACACTTGCAGATAATTGTATATATTACCCAATATTACCCTTGTGTAGGATTGGTTCCAACAAGTAACAAGCAAGTTTTATAGTTTTAATGTTTGGGCTTTCTTTACTTCATCTAATTTACAGCTCTGTATGTTACTCTCTATTTAATATAATCTCTGTTGTATTGATTTCTTCTGTATTTTCCTTTGGGATTTTGTAAAACAGATGTTTAAGACCACAAGTTGGAAGGAAGGTCACATACTTCAAATGCAAATAGATGGCTCTCTGAAAGATTTATGTCTCTGTACTTGCATTTGAATGGCCTTAAACCTGTTCCAGCATTAACAGTAGAATTTTACTTGGGCAATATTTGCCCATTCTGTTGTCATTTATGTGGCTAGTGCTAAGCAGCTGCCGTTGAAGCTACTGTTCTTCTTATTCAGTTCTATAGTCTTAGAACACCTTTTGTTGTTGAGGATGTGAATGCAGTGTGCATGTGCATTGAAGGTTGAATTCGCTACTGTGCCATTTTGAAAACTATAATAGTTCTGCACAACTTCTCAACAACAACAAAAAAGAGAAAAGAAAATGATATATAAAACTTACACTAGAAATGTCCTAAGCAAAGATATTACTAATTACTTTACTAAGGCTATGTAGTTTGGAAGGCTCAATAGCAGGCCAACACCTTGATTAGACCCATAGCAATCCCTACATTATCTGTGATGGCAGACAAGTACTTTAAGATGCCCTTGCCAAGGCACAGGAAGATAAAAAAGGTTTGCTCCATTAGTAGCTAGGACACATGCATGGAGGTAGAGGTGACCTGCAGGATCTTTACACACAAAAATTATTCTGCTACCAACAATTTATTCCTTAACACTCACTGGAGGTCAGTATCTTTCCACCAGAAAAGCTGTCAAGGCCAGCCAGTGGTGTGGTAGTTAAGGTGACTGGATCCTACATGGTCAATCGTCCATTTTGAGTCCTGGATCTGGTGGCTTGAAAAATACACTGGGTACATGTGAAAGTGTGCCTAAAATCCTGAAAGGAGAAATGGAGAAGGGCGTATAGTGTAATCATCACTCGTGGTGAGACTGCTTTCTCATGTTCCTTCTCTCTGTCTTCCTCCATGAGTATATGTGCCCTCTAGTCATGGGGGGAGAGGAGGGAGGAGCTGTATAACTAAACGGTGGCTGAGCACAAACAAATTTTAGGAAGATTCTGGGCTAGATTTACTTCGATATACTCAGAACTGTGAAAACAGTGTGTATTTGCATGTATGGCCTGCATCCATTCAACCAATGAGCATTCAAAAAAGTTGGTGAAAAAAATCCAGAATATGATAAGACGTTTCTGTAGAGACCATTCTGGAAGAAAAAAATATTTTCTCTCTAAAATTAGTATTTAGTGTATGTATTTCCAAATTACTTTTTTTTTGGAGAGGTTTTTGCTATAGGGCACATGTGCTCGCCAGTCAGACAGAGACAGAGAGACAGAAAGCGAGAAATCACCCCCCTGGGGGGATGGCCATGCCACAATCCTTTCTCCTCCATTCTCCTCTCAGGATCTTGGGCGAGCGGGCACGCATGCACACGCGCCCGGCGTGAGTTTTAAGCCACCGGGTCCGGGACGCGAACCAGGTCGACTACATGGGAGTCCAGCGACACAGCCATTATGCTAACTGCTGGTCCTCCCAAATTACTTTTTTAAAAATTCACTTCAGCATCTAAAACAAAATGAACAAAATGCCCACAGCCAACACCCTCAAAATATTTACGAGGCCAACAGGATTCCAGCAACAATACTACCCATGTGGTGGAAACTATAAACTGTACTATTTGTACACTTATGCTCAGGCTTGCTTTTATTCCCCGCTGCCTCCTAAAATTTCTAATTACTTAGAGCAAGTGAAAATGTGGCAACGGGGCTATTAAACTGGCTATGCCACAGAAAATAGCAGCCAGACCCAGGGACACATGACCCAATTAACTGATGCTTTCCTTCTGATCAGGAACAAGGCAAGGATATCTATACTCATCACTTTTATTCCATACAGTGATGGAAGTTCTAGCTAGTACAAGATGGTAAGAAGAGAGAAAAAAGGCATTACAGATCAGAAAGGAAACTCCCTATTTGTAGATGACAAAGGATCATCAACACAGAAAATCCCAACAAACTAATTTTAAAAAAAAAAAAGGACTTTCTGTTCACATGGATCCTAACCTTCAACTATGAAATATTGCTTTCAGGGACTTAAAATGGGAGTTTTTCTGCTGAGATGTCCCCCTCCACATTCATTTCTAGAAAGGCACAAATCCAGGCCCATCTTGACATGGACCCTGAACTTCAGATGTGAAAATACTGCATTTGCATGGCATGGTTTTCAATTTTTACTTTTTAAAATTAAAATCTAAAATTTTTTAATTATCTTTTTTCTTCTTATTTTATATTTTCCTCTTCTTTCCTCTTCTCTAATTCTTTATCTTTATTCACTGGCTTCTCAGCTCCTACACACTAAGCGTCTAGACAGGTCCAAGCGAACAGGATCTAAACACCTGAATACAATTAGGGTCAGAATTTTCCTCTATTCCCACTGATTATGATGCATAAAGAGTGAAAATGGAATGGAAGAGAGATTGCAGATCACCTCCTCCTGCATACTGATGAAGGGTCAGATTGAACTTCAAGAACTAGGGAGAAACGTACCATCCATCCAAGTTCTTATGACCACAAGGTCAAAAGAAATATAGAAATATGAAATAAGAAATATGGAAAAACAAGAAAATACCTCTCCTCCGAGGAAAAATAATAACTCCTTTTCATCCTCAGACAATATAAAGGAATTTATGGAAATGTCAGATAAAGAATTTAGAATTTTCATGGAGACAAAGCTCACAGAGATCGAAGAGAAGAGAGACAA